ATTGCTGCCCTGACATGGCACCTTATCTTTTGAGTAAGTACTATGTTGTGTTTACTACAATTAATTACTTGAAACAGTGATATACTTGTCTGTTTTCTGTCAAGCTTGCGATATATTTTCCAAGTGGTTTGGTTTTTAAATAGAGTTTCATTGTCTCCAAAACTAAAATAAAAAAATAAATAAAAAGTTCTATCCAATCTCAAATGCTGCCTTTTGTCATCCAGCTACTCAGGCTCCTAAAATACTACTGATCCAAGTCAGCACTCCATGTCAGATGAGACTTAAGCCAGTAATTTGGGCACACACACACACACACCCGTCAATGAATGCACAAAACACAAATATACACACATGTACATAATACACATATACAGACAACAATCAATAAAGTAAAAAGAGAGGCACAGTGCGAGAAAATATTTGCTAACCAAGAACCAAACGAGGAGCCAGGCGTGGTGGTGCACACCTTCAATCCCGCACTCAGGAAGCAGAGGCAGGCCAGCCTGGTCTACAGAGTGAGTTCTAAGACAGCCAGGGTAACACAGTGAAACTCTCTCTTGAACCCTGTCCCCTGCAAAAAAAGAATCAAATGAGGAGCTGGCATTCCAAATATCTAAAAGAGAAGCTCTAATGTCTCTCATCTCTAATGCCTTGTATTTTTGTTAGTTATCCATACAATCAACTGTCAAATACGTCTTCTATATCAAGATAGTGACGCTGCTGAGTTCTGCTGTGGCATTTAATATCTTCTGAATAGGACTGAATTATAATTTTCTTTATCATCTTTGTGCTTAGCATTAAGGTGTAACAGACCAACTAAACGGGTTGGGTGGGTGGGGATAACAGAATGAGCTCTTCCTTGAATTCTTCATAAATACCTATAAACAAGTGTCTGGGCTGACTGATTTTTCATAAGAGCTTAAACAACAGACTCCATTTCTTCAAAAGCTACAGGAATATGGATTATGATTTCTAATTCTAAGTAAACAAGTAAAACGTATTTATGTAGAAATGTGTCCATTGCTACTTGCATCTAAAAGTTAGTTCTTCACAATATACTCATATACTTTTATAATCCTTAATTTTTAAGAAAATTTAAACTTAGAGGTAATATAATAAAATAAGAAAGAAAATCCATTCACCATTTGCTCAAATCATCCGCATTTACTTTACCATCTACATTCTTTTTCTCTGTGAACAACTACTGAGTATGTAAAAGCACAATGGTTCTGAATAAATAAACCGATCTCAGAAATAAAGATGTTCGTATGTAAAAACAGAGTAAAATTATTAAAATTAGTAAGGTTCAATTCCCTGTGAATGACAGAAGAACTGTATAGAAAGTGCAGCTGATTTCTTTTTTGTATGTAATGGTCTGAATAGGAATGGCCCCATAGGCTCATTTATTAGAATGCCTGGTCACCAGGGAGTGCTGTGACCTTATTGGAGGAAGTGTGTCACTGGAGGTGGACTCCGAGGTTTCCAAAAATCCAACCAGGCCCAGTGTCTCTATTTTCCTGCTGCCTGTGGATCCAGATATAGAACTCTCAGTTACATCTCCAGCAACATGTCTCCTGTGTGTCACCATGCTCCTTGACATGATAAAAATGTCCTAAACTCCTGAAACTGTAAGCCAGCTCCAATTACATATTCTTCTGTGAGCTGCTGTGGTCAGGAAGACGCTGGCAGCAAAGAACACTGACTAACACAGCACGCGGGCTGTGCAGTTTGTATTCTCTAGCAAAGCAAAACTAACAACAGCTCTGTTATCTTCTCGGACTATTGCACTGGGTTTTGTGAGTTTGCATCTGGGGAAGGACCATGTACATGTGCATCTTCACATGTGTGGACGTCTTTTGTTCCTTCTTATCATCTGCTGTAACACAACAATGAGAAATAGAAGTTCTTATCTTCTACACTATTTTAGGGAAGAAATATTTGATGTCCTCATTGTAGACTGGAATGTTATCATTTGTTTTTCACCAGAGCCCTTTACCAGCTTGGGAAATGACAGAGTAGAAAGAACTTTCATCGGGATTGGATTTTGGATTCTGCCCATGCTTTTCTTAAAGCATGGTTTTCTTTTACACTCCCTGGCTTTCTTTTTCCAATGAGAGCATTACATTTTCGTTCATATTCACTACACTTATCCCTCATGTAGAATGCTGAATACTGTCATTAACTCTCTGCCAGGCTCTAGTTTCTGCAGATTTGCATACTTTTTGTTTAAACTACCAGCTGACCTTTATCTCAACGGTTTATTCATTCTTTCATCTACTCACCTTATTACTGTGTATGTTCAAGTGTGTACTGGGCACACGTGTCATGGTGCTTGTATCAAATGACAACTTAATGAAGGACTTCTTTCCTTTTACCCTCTTCTGCGTCCTAGGGCTCAAACTCAGGATGCCAGGTTGACAGGACTATCACCTTTATCTGCTGAGTGATCTTGCCAACCCTCAATGCTTTTATTTTCAAATGTCCTATTTGGCTACTTTAAAAAATATTTTATAATATTATTTTTCAATTTTCTTATCGGGAATTATTTACTAATTTTAGTTTATTAAATAATTCTAATATACCAAATCTATAGTGTGCAAGAGATATTTTCAAAGTCTGAGAGTTTCTTTGATTTTTTTTTTCCTGTTGGATCTCAATAATAGCTTTCAATTTAAAGGAGTGGACATTTTTCACTGTGAACTCATATTGCTGGGAACTGTAATACATACTGTAGTCTGATGACTATAGCTATGAATGCTTTCCTCTACCAAGGGTCTACCGTTGTTTCTGGTGGGAATAAATGTATTGTTAGCATCAGACAGCCTTGTTTGCTAGTATGGCATAGGTATCAGCTTTAATGCAATGCTTCTCTGTGGCTTATTTGCTTGCACTGCAGTGATAAGATCCTTAAGAAAATCTCATCTCTAGACTAACAGAAATAGAAACCAACCTGTATAGATAGAGTACTTTCAATAATAAATGATTGTCTGTCTAACTGGCTTATCCTGTTTCAGTTGCTTAATACATTAAGAAGTCACAGTCAGGTTGACTATTTTACCTATAACGCTAAGATTTTGCATTTGGGTGCCTTAAAGTTTCTAACTAGAGACTACAATGCTATTACTGAATCATATGCTATGTCTAAAAGGGCAAAAGAAAACACATTTTTGGCATAGTTAAAATTCTCATTAGTACTATAGCAGCTTAAAATGCTGAACACATTCCAAATTTAGCTTAATGCATCCTACACACATGATTACAAAACTCGTTTGAAGATAAAAATTGCTGGCTTAGAAAATGAAAGTATCAAATCCACACCCCCACACAGCCAAACTGGCTTAATTCTGTCCATGAAAATCTACAGTCTGTTTTTCATTATGTGGTTCCTAAATAATCTGTCACTAATTTGCTAACTCACTTTACAGTCAAGTGTTATTACAAAGTAGTGGTGATTCTACATTGACACTAGAACTCTTGCCTGGCCCCAAACAAACAAACAAAAAAAAAAAACACCCAATCAACCAAGCAACAACAACAAACAAAAAACTGAACGTCTCTTTTGCTTTCTTAAGCTTTTTTATTTTTTTCAATATTAGATTCATTTATTTTATTTCATGGGTTATGAATGTTTTGCCTGCATGTATATCTGTGCATCGTGGATATGCCTGGTGCTCAGAGAGGTGTCAGATCCCCTGGAAGTGGAGTTACAGACCATTACGAGATGCCAGGTGGTGAGAGCTGCACCTGGATACTCTCGAAGAGTGGTTGGAGTCAGTGCTCTTGGCTTGATGCGGGGTGGGGTGGGGTGGGGTGAGGGAGGCTTGATCCTGTCCCAAGCTGGCATGCCAGACCTGTTGACTCCCCCCAAAGAAGGCCTTACTACCTCTGAAGAATATATGGGGGATGGGAAGGAGGATATGAGGGGGTGGGAGAAAGGGGAGGGAACTGGAGTTTGTATGGAAAATGAAAAGATTTTTAATAAAAAAAAAATAGGAAAGAGTCAGTGCTCTTATCCACTGAGCTATCCCTCCACCACCTAAGCTTGAAAATCTAATGTCTAATAATCAGCCTCAAACTTTTACTTATAAAGAAATTATTGATTCATTCATGGATGCTATAGAAAACACATTACAGAGAGAGAAAACAATCTAGAATTAAAAAGAAATATGAATTGATAAGTTTGAATGCATTTTTACAAATGATCATACTAAGGCAATACATGTTAATTTTACAGGACATTTATGAAATTACCAGGAGCAGAATAGCCACTTCTGATAAACAAGAGCTTTAAAATGGCTCCACAATTCTACTAAAATATCCATAAGCTTTATTCATTACATTAGATACAAATGGTCCACGATCATTTTATATTCAACTCAATGTGTTGCTTCATACTCATGTATTCTTGATGGATCTACTAAACAACCTCCCAAGTAAGAAACAGAAACTACCTCTTAAGAACATTCTTACTAGTAATTAGACTATGGATGTTATACACACTGTCTTTTCTAGCACTCAAAATCAAGGATCTTAGCAAGTAACCCAATTATAAAAGCATTTCAAAATTAATGACTAAGATGTAGAATCAGAGAGTCGCTGCCTTGGAAGAAGTCCTCATGGCCCACGAAGCTAGCAGGTTAGGAGAAAAGAAAGATTTCATGACATGAAAGGAGAACACAGCGAAGAGAATTCGGGGCAAACTAATAATGAAATGGGTTCTGTGGCTACTGTTTAAATTTCTTTCAGGTGGGTTTCTAGTGGAAATTTTGGAAATGTTACAAGCCACCACTCCAATGACAGAAGTGGAAAGTGTGTAGTGCACTTCAGAAATTATACCACACCCCAGCTAACATTTATCTTGCAAGGAAATTTATAGTTGTCAATAAACACATCGTCTTTGATATACAGTTACCTTGCAAGGCAGTGACCCAGATAATACTTGCCAGCATCTTCCCACTTTCTGCATGAGTGATATACAAAATATCCTTATTTAGACATACCTTAACTATTTCTTCAATGAAACAAATCTGAGAAACAGGATCTCTCTTCTTGGTTAATACTTTTTGTAGATGCTGTACCTAAAGGCAGGAAAAGAGAGAGAGGGGCAACATAAATTTAACTGGCTATTTCCAAGTGAAACCAATGTAACTCTTAGGAATTGGAAAAAGCGTGGTATATTTCAGAAGTCCCTCAAAAATAGCATTACTGCTATCACATGGGACAAGTGGACAAGGAGTCTATGCACACACACACTACGGTCAGCCAGCAGAGGTGCTGGAGCATTAGGGACGATAAAAGACACAGAAGTACCAGGAGTTAGAAGGCTCTTTCCATCTCTTGAGATATTTACCTGTCCACATGCAGCACAGATATGATCCATAAGTTTTTCCATATTGGTCCAGAGAGAAGCACGAAAAGCTGCTGTGTTTCCTGGAGTTGGCATGGTAGCTCGCCCAGGACCTCCTGGTTAAGAGTAACAGAGAAATGGGGAAAATAAAAGCTCCCAAATACAGCAGAAGTACAGAGAAGACAAAAACCAAAAGGTGTCCTCTCTCACAAATAGCTTCTTTTGCACAATATAAAAAAAAAAATCTTTGTGTATAGTAAGAAAAGGAAATATCACACAATCACATGGATGGGGCTATAAAATCAAAATAAAAATTAATGAGAACAGTTTCCTTAAAAAAGAAAGAGGGTGAAGAGTTATCAAACAAAGTGAAATATTTCACATATTCAAAATTAAATTTACAAGAATGACAAAGACATGACCCCAAATTGAATTCAAGTAAATATAGAATCAATGAAATTATCTGTGTATCAAATTAACAAAAAAACCATGGGGAAAACAGTTAATTCAAATAATTTAAAATCACAGAAGACTTACTTTAGTAGAATATATGCTATGAGCACAAAGAACTTCAAGGAAATTATCACAGCAACAGGTTTTCTGTGTGTGCAGTTTGGATGTAACAGGCCTGCATCTAGTTCAGGTATATTTTCAAAAGCAGCAACTAATGTTCTCATTATAAACAGAGTAATGGCGAACAATGCAATGGACTTAAAGGTAATTCACAAACCGATTTACCAGCGCAGAGTGAAAATGATCCATAATAATGGAATGGGTTCTGTGACCTTAAGTGAGTATATTATCATGTTTATATTATAAGCATATCTAGTATCTAAAAATTATAAGCATTCAAGTTTTTATTTCTACAACCACCCTTCCCAAAACCAACCAATCAAACTAGAACTCACTGATAAAAACCAGGATTCATTATTAGAATATAAAATACAATGCAAAACCAGTTATCTATTATGCAAAATGTTCCTGAACTCTATGCCTCCTCTAAACGTACAGTTCTCTTACGGTAATATTTCCTCCTTCTTTTCAATTATTTTTCTCACAATACATTGTTAAGGAAATAAAAAGATAACCAACAAACGGTGCCTAAGGGTTTTTATGGTCACAAGCTAAATACATTGTACTGCAGATATAACCATGATCGAAATAACCAACTGACTAAAGAGAATACCAGCATAAAGGGAGGGAAAGAATATTTGAAATAAATGGGTGCTTTTATTGATTAGATTTAACAGACTCAGACACACAATAAACTGTCATGAATTTGGGTTTATTAAAGTAATAAAAGAAATTAAGAGTTCCTTAAATAAAAAATACTTATGGATGATTTCTAGTTGATGGTATTCTCTTCTTTTGAAAGCCAGCAAGATTAAGAACAAACAAAAAGTAGGCAAATAACTTACCTAAAAAAAAAAATAAGGAATCAGATAAACCCTTCAACTTGATTATGAAGCACTCAAACCAAATGCCATTGATAAATTAAAAGGAAGAAGAGACAGATAACTGACAAATGAGCCATTAGTGGGAAACTGCTTTAAAATCAATTTTGAGAACAACTGTGAAACAGATAAGAGATTCCCTGCTTAGTGAATCTTGACAGTGCACACCAAAGAGGCATGCTTCCTCTTTATTTTTTTTTTTTTTTTGTTTTTCGAGACAGGGTTTCTCTGTGGTTTTGGAGCCTGTCCTGGAACTAGCTCTTGTAGACCAGGCTGGTCTCGAACTCACAGAGATCCGCCTGCCTCTGCCTCCCGAGTGCATGCTTCCTCTTTAATGACTGTTAGGATTTGGTTCCAATTCAGAGTATTTCCAATGACTACAGAAAATACATAAGGGATGCTGGAAGAGGTGATTGAATGGAAGATACAAAGGAACTGGAAATTTTAGAGATGATGGAGAGATGATGAAAAGACAGAATGCTCTAGGCAGGACAATGGTCCTCAAATTTAAGGATCCCCAGAATGAGCTGACAGGTAGGTTTGAGGATTAGTCTCCACTGTCAACTTAACAAAAAAAGAGGTAGAGATTAGTAAAGCACATCTCTGAACATACCTGGAAGGGTGCTTCTAGAGATGATTAGCTCATGAGAGATCTAACTTAATCAATAATCTTGTCCATGAATGGTCTAAAAACTCTGAGCATACAATGGGGAGCCAGAGGAAATGGGTAACTGGGAGCATGTTTTTGAATGGATTATTTTTGCTCTGGCTCCTTGCTGTCATTCCTCCCTAGTTCCTAGCAGCCAGGAGGTGAGGTGCTTTGCTCTACCATGATGCCCAGCTTCACCTAAGGTGCACAGCAACGAACCATCTGAGTATGGAACAAAACCTCTGAAAATATGAGTCAACATAAGGGCTTGTAAAACTGTTTTTTTTTTCTCTTTTTTCAGACATTAGTCAAGTGAGAAAACTCTAACATAGCAGGTAAATGATTGAATGGTGAACTCTTGCCTGAATTTTGACTTAGGAAGTCCATATGGAGTTACATAGTTCACATCTCCTTGGTGATACAGAACTTGAGAACTAGGCTTTCTATGAGAATAGTTAGGCTGTGGAGTAGTGATGCTTTTTATTGAGTTCATGGGGAAGATATCAAGAATCCGAGAACTTTAGCAAAGTCCAGAGAAGCAGAGTAAAGTGAATTTCCAAGCATTTATTCTGGCTGACTGTTCTAGTCTGCCTCTCTATTGATGGGAAAAAACCATGACCAAAAGCAACTTGGAGAAGAAATGGTTTATTATAGCTTACAGGGTACAGACCATCCCAGAGGGAGCTAAGGCAGGGAGGGACTCAAGGAAACAACAGAAGGCAAGACCATGGAGGAGTGCTGCTTACTGGCTTGCACCCCATGGCTCAACCTGCTTTATTATGCATCCCTGACCACTATGGCCCACAATGAGCTGGACTCTCCTACATCATTCACCAACTAAGCAAGAAAATGAACCAGACACCTCCATAAGCTAATCTGATGGAGGAAATTCTTACCAGGTGACTCTAGGTATGTCAAGTCAGAAAACAAAACAAACAGCAACAACAACAACAAAAAAAAAAACCTAGTGAACAAACTAAGAGAGACATTTTCTCAAATTATTTTCAAAGAATTATTTAATTTTTGAAAAGTTGTTACTGTGTATGATGTGCATAAAAAAAATACATGCATGCCATGGTGTGCATGTGTAGAAGTGAAAGGAAATCTTTGTGGCTGGCACTTTCCTTCCACCTTCACAGACCTTCCAGAGATTTTAATCAGATCATCAGGCTTGGAAGACACACTTTACCCACTAATCTAACTCACCTGCCTGAAATACACTGTTTGTAACTGCATTTAATTCTATTTACAGATGAAAGAATCAAATATAGTGTAGTGAGTGAAACAGCTAAAACAAAACACTGGCTTGTGCAAGAGAGAAAATGGAGTGGGTTTAGGCTTAATGGCAAATATGAGTCAACTGTAACTTTCATTTATTAGTTATCTTCTTTGATTTTAAAAATTAAGGTGAAATAGACTCAATGCTAAAAGTCTCCTGAAATCAAATCAATAATAAGAAACTGTATAAACTGTCTACTGACTTTTTGTTAGAGCTAAGATCCACAGGCATGGATGGGTGAAGAAAGAGGCAAACTGTTCAACACTGCAGTATGATAAAGTCGAAAAGTCAAAAACAAACCACAATAAAGTGATACTTATGTAAGAACTGATTCTCAAGTGTGGGGAGCTACTGGGAGTAAAGTTCTTGAGAAAAAGGGTTGGGGGAAGCTGAGAATACTAGACTTCACAAAAAAGAAAACAAAACCCCCCAGCTCTCCTAGGATGACACAAAGCTCTTGAATGGCCCCAAATTGGAAACATATACTTCCAAGATAATCAGAACACAGATGCTGACGGTAGAGGAGAGAAAAACAATGACAAACATGGCTAATAAACGTACTTCCAAAGAAACAAGAAAGATCACTCAGTTCTGTAGTTGAATCTGAACTGTCTCCTCCAAAGGCTTGGTTCCCCAGTGAAGCAGTGTTCTGAGGAAATGATTGGGTTATGAAGATCACTCCATTGTCTGAGTTAACTTTCAATAGGCTCTGGGGGCGAGGAAGAAATTATAGGAAGGTAACGCCTAATTGGACAAAGCAAGGTCTGGGGTGTGGCTACACCTTCCTCTCCTTGTCTCCACACTGCTAGATGGTAAGCAGCTCTGCCACACCCCATGGGCTCCCCACTACGGTGTTTTCAAACTCACCGTGGTCCAGGAACAACAGAACCAAATGCCCCAAACTGACCTAGAATACGCCCTTTCTCCTTCAGCTGCTTTGCTTACATACTGTGACACAATAACAAATATAGAAAACATCCTCTCCCACCAGAAATAGAGATGACACTAAAAACAAACCCAAAATCCTAAAGAACAAAGGTAGAAACACAGTGAAACCTAAGGAACAGGCAAGAAGAAATCATACAAAATGAAATAAAATATGACGATATTCAAATAACTACAGAAAAATACTTAACATGGAAAACAAACATCTGACGTACCAAACATGCATAAAATTCTAAAAAGAGCAAGTGGAGCTCAAAAATAATTAGAACTGAAATCAAATGAACAAAAAATGATGGGTAAACAGTATCTGCAAGGTAGTCTGAAAGTTATTAAATGTAAAAATAAGGAAAAGTCATTAGGATATTCACAGAAAACTGACTACCGAGCAACTGAGATAGCACAAAGGGTAACATGCAAAAAACCAACACGAGCACCTAACTCAGGTCCCCAGAACTGATGTGGAAGCCAGGCATGGCAGCACGTGCTGATAGCTAGCGCTGGGATGGAAAGACAAGAAAACTTCCTGGTCTTGCTGGCCAGGAAGTATGACTGAAACAGTGAACTTCAGGTTCAGTAAGGTGAAGAGATAACCTTCTGTGCCCTTACACACTCATGCACTGGAGTATTACACCCCCCCCCCCCACACACACACTCATACAATGCACTTACACACACACAAAAGAACAAATTACCTATATCTCTAATCAGGAAAGAAACAGATACAACATATTCTGCTTCTTTCCCTACCAATCACGTGACATTCCCAAGTGAAGACAAGTGACTCAGGGCAAAAACTGAGTCTCTTCCTATCTGTTTTTAAATCCTTAGATGTACAAGGATGCTATCAGTATCAGTGAGGCAGGGCAGGCTGACATTGAGCACGAAGTCATTCTGAGGTGATACAGTGACATTATTTCTTTAGCTCACATTTATCTCCTAAATTTCTACCACAATTATTCTCTTAGTTCAGTAAGGAAGACAAACATTACACACTGAACTGCAAAAAGTTACAAAATTCTAAGGGAAAGAAAGTATAAATGAAAATTTATATCTGTTCAAAGTATTTAAACACAGGGCAAAAAATACTATCAACCATGGGAGAACTCCAAAAACAGTGTCAATATAACATTTTTGAAAAATCAATTGTATGATGAAATCCATAGAAGGAAGAGATGAATGCAGAAATGCAGAATGAAAAATTCATATAAAAAAGACCAGAGATAAGAATCAAATCATTTAAAATATAATGAAGAAAATAAAAATCAGATCTATACTTCAACATATGAAAAAGCATCTGGAGACTGACAAAATGGCTCAGTGGGTTAATGTTCTGGCCATCAGCCTGATGACCTGATTGATCCCCAGTACCACATGGTAGAGGGACAGAGTCAATCTACTCCTAAGTTGTTCTCTGACATACACACAGACTGCAGCATGTGTGTGCCCACATACATACACATACACAAAACAGATGCATAAAAATAGTGCACATGGAATAATTATGTGAATACTAGCCACAAGGTTAGGAAACATAACAGAAAATAAAATAATATTCCATTTCTTCTTTTCTAGTCTTGGCTCCTTTACTCTTTCTCCAGAGCAAAAAGCCTCAAAAATTTAGAATTATGATCCCCTGATTTTAAGCTTTTAGTGTACATGCACATATCCAAAACAATACTTAGCATAAACTGTCACATTCTTGGGTCTTAAACATCATAATAAATGTACCTTTCTCAAAAAAAAATTCAGCAGCCCTCCTATATACAAATGGTAAATGGGCAAAGAAAGGTATCAGAGAAATACCACCCCTTACAATAGCCACAAATATAAAATATCTTGGGGTATCTCTAATCAAACAAGTGAAAAACCTGCTTGACAAGAACGTTAAGTCTGGAAAGAAAGATATTAAAGAAGATAGCAGAAAAGACATCTTCTTGCTCTTGGATAGGTAGGATCAACATAATAAAAATGGAAATCTTACCAAAAGCAATTGAATCTACAGATTCAATGCAATCCCCATCAAACTCCCAAAATTCTTCACAAACCTTGAAAGAACAATACTCAACTTCATACAGAAAAAAAAAAAACTCAGAATAGCTAAAAATAATCCTCAACAATAAAAAAACATCCAGAGGCATCACCATCCCTGACTTCAAGTTCTACTACAGAGCTATAGTAATAAAAACAAACATGTGGACCACTGGATTTCAATCAAAGACCTTGACATTAATCCACAAACCTATAAACACCTGATTCTTGACAAAGTAGCCAAAATGGCACAATGGAAAAAGGAAAACATCTTTAACAAATGGTGCTAGCAAAACTGGATGTCAACATGTAGAAGACCACAAATAGAACCATAAAAGTCAAGTTCAGATGAACCAAGGTCCTCAACATTAATCCACTTACATTGAACCTGATAGAAGAGAAAGTGGGAAGTAGCCTTGAACTTATGAGCACAAGAGACCACTTCCTAGATATAACTACAGTAGCACAGATGAGAGCAACAATCAATAAATGGAACGTCCTGAAACTGAAAAGTTTCTGCAAGGCAAAGGACATGGTAAATAAGACAGAACGACAGCCTACAGAATGGAAAAATATCTTCACCAACCCCACCTCTGACAGAGAGCTGATTTCCAAAATATACAAAGAACTCAAGAAACTAGACATCAGGGCACCAAAGCTACAGAGAAACCCTGTCTCGAAAAACAAAAAAAAAAAAAAAAAAAAAAAACAAAAAAAAAAGGAAAGAAAGAAAAGAAACTAGACATCAAAATACAAAACAATCCAATTAAAATATGGGGTACAGAGCTAAACAAAAAATTCTCAACAGACGTTTAAGGAATTGCTCAACATCCTTAGCCATCAGGGAAATGCAGATCAAAACAACTCTGAGATACCATCTTACACCTGTCAGACTATGTTTTCTTGTGTTCTTTTTTTTTTTTCGAGACAGGGTTTCTCTGTAGCTTTGGTGCTGGTCCCGGAACTAGCTCTTGTAGACTAGGCTGGCCTCGAACTCCCAGAGATCCGCCTGCCTCTGCCTCCCGAGTGCTGGGATTAAAGGCGTGCACCACCACCGCCCGGCTCTTGTGTTCTTTATATATTCAAAGTAACATTTAAAAAATACATTATTTGATATTAAATCTATAGAAAATTTACAATTAATATATAAAAACCTTTGCCTTAAACTATGTACAAAAATTTATGTTGTGATTCTCCACCATACTCAACTACTTTAATGAGTATTTAAAATAACTCTACATAACCTCAATACATATGAGAAAATTAACATGAAAACCATTTCATATTAAAAATAAAGATAATACTTTTTCCTTAAAAAGATGAGGAACTCGTGCTTACCACTTCTACATTATATCATGATATCCACTTTCCGATGGATCATAAAAAGGCAGTTTAAAAACCCTTTATTCTTTCTATAATAGAGGCTTACATTGAGATTGACAGTATGCAAAAAATTGCTTTCATTTTTTTCCTGTTCTTGACACCACAATAGGAAATGAGATTAAACAGCTCCTGGAAATTTAAACATTATATCAAACTTTCTGAAAATAATTGCTAGCAAAATTTGAGAGGAAACACTCCTTTGGTGACTTTTTTTTTTCAACAAATTCCTTTGGTGATCTTATGAATATGAACCTATTCAGAGGCTGAAGCAAACCTTTAAAACTCTAGTTGAGACTTAAGATTCTTTTATTTCTTTTTTTTAGTGTAATTGATTCAGGAGCTATGAACTCACTTTAACTTAAGGTTATGTATAAAAATGAAATTTTGCTTTTGTTCTCTTGTTGTTGTTGTTGTTTTTGAGACAGGGCTTCTGTGCGGAGCTCTAGTTGTCCTGGAACTCATTCTGGAGATACGGCTGAGGTGTGTGCCACCACTGCCCAGCCAAAATGAAATTCTTTTGTATTACTTATGCACTAGAAGTATCATTAATATACATGGTCTTTTTGTTTAATTTCAGGACTACTCTGTGATTTCGAGTGCCTTCAATAAAAGTACAGGGGGAAGTGATACAGTGAGCACAGATAATAATGTGGAAAACTTTTCTGTAGACTGGCAAAATAGCATAGTCAACGAAAGGGAGCCAAGAGATATTTGATTTTAAGTTAAAGATGATACAACAGGACGACTGTGTGATGAAAGAAACATGGAGGAAGGGAAAACTGACGAGCTGTCAGAATTGAGCAAAAGCAAAGAGGAGTGGAATTTAAAGGCAAGTTTATCTCTCTTTTCTTCTAGACTAGCAAGAGAAGAACACATGGCAGTGAGAAATGGAAGGACAGACGGACGTGCAGGAAGAATGAAACACATACAGCGGGTGGTCATCCGCCTTCTGCAGAGAGGGGTCAGCGCCTCAGCTACGGATGTGTCTTCTTCAGTCTACAACTCAGTCCCAGTGGTCTTTACATCCTGTCATCACCACCCTGCTCCCATGGGCTTTAGTCATTTTGACTGCTTCAACCATTACTGTTTTTCAGTATGAAACTTACAAGGAAAAGTCCAGAAAGTTAAAGTAGCAAGGGTATACCTTAAAAATGTTTTCCTTCGGGGCTGGAGAGATGGCTCAGTGGTTTAGAGCACTGTCTGCTCTTCCAGAGGTCCTGAGTTCAATTCCCAGCAACCACATGGTGGCTCACAACCATCTGTAATGAGATCTGGCGCCCTCCTCTGGTGTGTGGGCATACATGGAGGCAGAATGTTGTATACCTAATAAATAAATAAATCTTAAAAAAAATGTTTTCCTTACCAATAGAAAAAGTATATGTCAGGATAAATCTTTAGGAAGAAAAATACAAGCTTCTCTCTCTCTCTCTCTCTCTCTCTCTCTCTCTCTCTCTCATATATCTGTTTCCTTCCAACTAAATGATGCCACAGCTTAGACATCTTTATCCAGTGGTTCTGAATATACCAACTGACCAGTTCAATTCACTGATTACACACAAAATGATGGAGGAAGGTCATTGGCTAATAAAGAAACTGCCTTGGCCCATCTGATAGGGCAGAATTTAGATAGGAGGAGTAAACAGAACAGAATGCTGGGAGGAAGAGGAAGTGAGCACAGAAATCATGCAGCTCCTCTCAGAGCCAGACACAATGAAGCAAGCCGCCAGGTCAGACATGCTGAATCTTTCCCGGTAAGCGCACCTAGTGGTGCTACACAGATGATTAGAAATGGGCTAAATTAATATGTGAGAATTAGCCTAGAAGAGGCTAGATATAATGGGCCAGGCAGTGTTTAAAAGAATACAGTTTGTGTGTTGTTATTTCGGGTATAAAGCTAGCCGGTGGCCAGGAGCCGGGCGGTGGAACACAGCCCGCAGCTCCCTTAACAACAAAACTTATAAATAAGTCCTGAAATGTAATTTCTTCTCTCATATTTTTCTATTAAAAAATGAGTCATTAGATTGCTTTGAAACATGAGTGCTCGACATACTATTCAAAGAACTTCTTGGTTATAAATAAAGGGGCTAAATATAAACCATCCCCATACCTCTCACAGCTGACTGGGAAGGCTGAGTCAAAACTTTGACATCCAATGCATTGTTGATACTGTCTTCCAAAGAAGCACAATAACCATCCACAACATTGGTAACAGTATCCTTCAAAGTTCCGAGATTATGGAAAACCTGAAGGGCTGTTCCAACCTGAGCTGGATTCTGAAACACAGATAAAATGGGGTGAAAACAGATATAAATAAGAAATAAGAAAAACCAATATAAATCTTAAGAAAAAGGCCAAAAACTTTAACTGGCAGTTTAGTAGTTATTAATGTATTTACAGGTTAAAAAAGCAGAAGCAAACACAATTTGGGACAAGTTTTATTTATATACATGTATGGTTGTGCCATAACTTTTTGATAGAACATTTAATTTGAAATAATATTCATTTGCTTTTCGTCATATGAAAATAATAAAGCTCAAAACCATTTCCTGCTGCAGTTATAGTTATAGTTTTCCTTAGTTATAATAAAAGATAAAGCAGATATAAATATTGTAACTATAATTCTTGCTTGATAACTGTTTTATTATATGCAATTTAACTATGTTAAATTTAAAACCTTCCTTTTTATTCAAAGAGAAAGGGGGAGGTGATGTGGGAGTAATATCTGCTGTGATTATGTTTTATTGCCATTGGTTAATAAAGAAGCTGCTTTTGGTCAATGGCTTAGCAGAGTAAAGCCAGGATGAAGGAGATATAGAGAGAACAGTGGAGTCAGGGAGAAGCCATGTGGCCCACCAGAGACAGATGCTGGATGGAACTTTACCTTGTAAGCCACAGTCACGTGGTGAGACAGAGATTAATGGAGATGGGTTAGTTTAAGATATAAGAGTTAGCCAGAAAGACCCTTAAGCTATTGGTCAAACAGCATTGCAGATAATATGTTACTGTGTGATTATTTCAGGGGTGGGCAGCCGAAAACGAACTAACAAACTCACACCTACAGATTTCCTATTTCTTAAGACTTACTAAGTTTAATCTCTTCATCTACCCCCTCCTCATGTGTGTACATGCATGCATGTATGTGTATTATTTTATAGTAATGCCAATAGATTTCAAAAGTAATTTTTAGTATTCTTTGTTAACTTAGTTTGGAATAAAAGCTAATGAAACTATTTAACTTGCAGATACTTGTTGTGGGACAATGGTCTTGCATCCTGTAAAGATCTGTCACTTGTATTGGTTTAATAAAACATCATTTGGCCAGTAGCCAGGCAGGAAGCATAGGTGGGGCTACCAGAATAGGAGAATTCCGGAAAGAGAAAAGGCTCTGTTTGCACTCCTCATTCACATGCAGAGGACGCAAGATGAGAATGTCTCACTGATAAAAAGTACCAAGCCATGTGGCTAACACAGACAAGAATTATGAGTTAATGTAAAATATAAGGATCAACCGACTTAATGTGCTCTCTTTGTGGAAGCCTAGCCAGTTTGGATGTTCACCTTCCTAGATATGGACGGAGGGGGGAGGACCTAGGACTTACCACAGGGCAGGGAACCCGGACTGCTCTGTGGACTGGAGAGGGAGGGGGAGAGGAGTGGGGGGAGGGGGAGAAGGGTGGGAGGAGGGGGAAAAGGGTGGGAGGAGGGGGAGAAGGGTGGGAGGAGGGGGAGAAGGGTGGGAGGAGGGGATGGGAAATGGGAGGCTGGGAGGAGGTGGAAACTTGTTTTTTGTTTATGTTTTTTTTCTTCTTTTCGCAATAAAAAAAATAAAAAATAAAAAAAATATAAGGATCAATTAATAAGAAGCCTGAGCTAATAGGTCAACCAGTTTATAATTAACGTAAGCCTCTGTGTGTTTCTTTGGGACTTCATGGCTGCCAAACTGGGCAGGACAGAAACCTCTGTCAACAGATACTGAGTCATGATGAATGATATATAAAGTAATTTTAATGAAGAATTTTCATTCCTGAGTTCACACATATATGGGGGAGGGGCTGCAGAAGCAGAGGTGAATCTTAATAAGCCTTAAAAATAACAGGAAATGGGTTTGAGATTTTTTTGGATGGAACAAGAAGAAACAAATGAGTACTATTTCAAATTAATCAAGAAGATATGACACAACATTTCAAGTATAATTGCCTTATGTAATTGCTGAAGTATGAATCCCTAGATATCTAAGTGAGCATGGCGGTCCACCTGTAATTCCAGTTTCCCAGGAAAAAAACGGGTGATCCTCAGAGCAAGCATAGAGCCAGCAAGACTACATATAGCAGTAAGTTCTGAGTTTGATTGAGAAATCCAGCCTGAATGATTAATGTGCAAGACCATGAAGAATAATTTCCTGACATCAGCCTTCGGGCATCTACATCACACACATCACTACACACTAGTGCATCCATACACAGGTACACAGTGCATCAATACACGGGTTTACACACATCACATCTCACACTCACATGAAGCTAGGTCATAACTCCAATACTGTTAGCACTTCTGAACCATCTATGGCTACCCAAACTGAATCCCTCCATATATTATCACTGCCATAACTTTTGTCATAAGATTAATTCTGTTTTTCACCTTGATGTCAATGAAGTTATACAGTACACATGATTTTGTATTTGCCTTCCCTTGCTCAGTGTCTTATGTGTGGAATGCTTTTGTGTTGTTTCATGTAGCAGAAGTTGATTTACGTTTATTGCTGTTTAGTAATGTCTGTCCATTCTATTCTGGACACACACTTGAGTCGTTTCAATTCCAGGCATTATAATTAACGCTGGGATAAACCTTCAGACACGCAGCATTTGGTGAATAAATAGGCAAAGGTGCCTCTGCTGTGTGAAAGCAGAGAGGAGTCAAAAGGCACTTGCAAGTTCTGTGTTAAGAGATAAGGAAGACTTCACAAAGACACTGCAGACACTGCCGTTACTCCATTAGCTCACCCACAACTGTGACAGCCGTGCCTCTAATGTATTACTGCTTTCAGTAAGCACTATGATTGTCAGTGTCTTTCCTATAATAGCTAGGGAAGTTGGCAGGCATTTGGGCTTTTATGGTGTGCATATAAAACATATATTCCTAATTGCCCATTGTTCTAATTGGTTGTTTTATTGTCATTTGCATATTTGTACAAATTGTTTGTATAATTTACGTGTAATCACTCTGATAATTGTTTCTGTTGTAAAATGTTCTCACTCTTATTGAAATCTTTTCTCCTTTTTTTTCCTTTTGCTCATTTTTATTTATCTTTTTGTTATTTCATTGGAAATGTTTTTTGTTTTTTTTTTATTGAAAGAAAAAAAAAAAGAAATTCCCGCCTCCTCCCAGCCTCCCATTTCCCTCCCCCTCCTCCCACTCTTCTCCCCCTCCCCCCACTCCTCTCCCCCTCCCTCTCCAGTCCAAAGAGCAGTCAGGGTTCCCTGCCCTGTGGAAAGTCCAAGGTCCTCCCCCCTCCATCCAGGTCTAGGAAGGTGAACATCCATACTGGCTAGGCTCCCACAAAGCCAGAACATGAAGTAGGATCAAAATCCAGTGCCATTGTCTTTGGCTTCTCCTCAGATCTCATTGTCCGCCACGTTCTTTTAAGGACAATAAATTCTTAGTGAAGAAGTCTTTCATTAAATAAAAAGACATTCTTAATCTGAATGCATTCTCTACGGTTAACACTTTCGGCATCCTGTTTTTTTAAAATGTTTCCTATTCGTTAAAAGTTCTATATCTGCTGGGCAATGGAGGCTCATGTCTTTAATCTCAGCCTCGGGAGGCAGGGGCAGGAGGATCTCAGTGAGTTCAAGGCCAGCCTGGTCTATGAGTTCCAGGACAGCAAAGGCTACACTGAGAAACACTACCTTGAAAAACCAAAATAAATAAATAAATAAATAAATAAATAAATAAATAAAACCTTCCATACATTTATACTGATTACAGCCATCCACTGTTGAATGGAACTAGAAAAATCCATTTTGAGTGAAGTATCCCAGACCCAGCAAGACAAACACTGTATGTACTCATTAATAATTGGATATTAGACATAAAGCAAAGAATAACCAGCTTACAGTCCACTGCTCTAGAGAAGTCAGGAAATAAGGGGGAGCCTAAGAGACATGCAAGGAAGGGGAAATAGATAAGATCTTCTGAGTAAATTGCAAGCATGGGGGAAGAAGGTGTAGAGGGGAGTGGGGAGGAGGACATGAGGGAACAGGATAGTTGAGTTGGGGGATGGACAGAGAAGGAGAGCAAGGAAAGAGGTATCTTGATAGAGGGGGAAATCTGGTGCTAGGGAAACAGCCAGGAATCCACAAGACCCCAGCTAAGACTTCTAGCAATAGTGGATAGGGTGCCTGAATTGGCCTTCCCCTATAATCAGATTGATGAGTACCCTAACTGTCATCATAGAACCTTCATCCATTAACTGAAGCAGATGCAGAGATCCACAGCTAAGCACTGGGCCAACTCCAGATAAAGAGAAGGAGGAGGGATTATATGAGCAAAGGGGTCAAGATCATGATGAGGAAACCCACAGAGACAGCTGACCAGAGCTAGCAGAAGCTCACTGGACTGATAGCTGGGGAACCTGCATAGGATCAAACTAGGCCCTCTGAACGTAGGTGACAGTTCTGTGGCATGGGAAATCTGTGGGGCCACTGCCAAGGGGCCATTGGCAGTGGGACCAGGATTTATCCCCAGTGTATGGACTGGCTTTTTGCAGCCCATACCCTATGGAGGGATACTTTGCTCAGCCTTGATACAGGGGGGAGGGGCTTGGTCCTGCCTCAACTTGATGTGACAGACTTTGTAGACCCCCCATGGGAGGCCTCACACTGAGGAGTGGGATGGAGGGTGGGGGGATTGCAGTGGGGAGTGGGAGGAAGGGAGGAAGGGGGTACTGTGCTTGGTATATGAAATGAAAAAGAATTTAATTAAATAAAATTTTTAAAAAAATCACACTGCACATCAGAAGGAAAGACATCTTAGAGTCAGGGGTGGGTTTCTGATCTCCCTGCTCACATGCTGGCACTGCGAGGTGCAGCGGTTTACAGTCATGAGGGAGAGAGATGCAGCTCCCTGCTCACATGCTGGCACTGCGAGGTGCAGCGGTTTACAGTCATGAGGGAGAGAGATGCAGCCAGTAGCTTTTCTTCCTTGTGATGTCCTTCCTGTGCCATCACCATTATCCTGCTTCATGAGCAGAGTGGTCATACTCTGCTTACTCAGT